TATGGTTCATGGGGTCACGAAGAGTCGGACACGACTTAACGACTAAACAACAACAAAGCTCAAAGCAAACAGATCCCTTTCTAGCTTAGCACAAAGCATAAATCCAACCATGTTTATCAACTCACTGGTTCAGTTTTCAGCCCTTGGCCAGTTGTGCACCCTTGCTTGGGAGGAAATCAAATGAATTCAGTGGCTTGTGCTTCTGGGTAGACGGGCACAGCTCTCAAATGTCAGTGTGTGTGTAATTACATAGGCACAAATAAATAAATCTGCAAGGCAAGTTATAAACACAGCAATTCTGACAAAACCCACTGGCTGGCTTTGCACAAAACATTTAAAGCAATTTTCTGTATTTACACACACTTCTGGATTATGAACCAAACACATACTCTGGTTTTGCACAATTTGCTAAATCAGAAAGAAACTATCCAAGGTTACCATTAAGCAACCTCACCATGCCATGTAACTGACCTGGCTAAGCTTGTAGTGTGAATACAGCCCATTCCTGCAAAGGTGAATTAAATGCATTTAATTTTTTAAAAATGAGGCTGCTTTGCTGGCTTACTGCAACTGTAGTCTGAGTTCTCTTCATCCAAGTCCAGAGAAGTGGGCACCCACAATTCTTCATTTCTTTCCAACTTAGAGACCAGTTCCGGCTTGGGGAATATCCCTTTTCAGAAGGGGAAGAAAAGGATGAATTTGGAAGAACCCCCTAAAATCAGACTGGACAGATGTTTTTTGTTCAAGGATTCTATTTTTTTCAGCTGACATGCTTTCCTGTTTCATTATCATTTAGCATGGTATCTGTATTTTCTTTTTTATTGCTTTTTATAATTAAAAAAAAACATCCAGACAAAAACTGGAAAATAGGGAAAGAGAACCAAAGCAGAGACAAACAAAATAAACTGGGGAATAAACACACAATTTTAAACATGAATACATTGTTAGGGTGGATCTTTCTCCACATTATACACCCATATTCAGTAGGGGACCTGAGTGGTTGTGGAGTGATCTAGATACGGAGGGGATCACATTTAGTCCTTTGCCATGTTCAGATCCTTTCCTGGTACTAAGGAGATGGGCTGTCACCATGACCTCCATGGGGTGCTTGATTAAGTCAATTCACCCCAGGTTCCTTGTAGGTCCAGATGGATTCCTGAAGGCTTGGGGTGTTTCTCAGTGACTTTGTGGGCATTTCCACCAAGTGCCTGGTTGCTCATGGTAGCATCAAACCATCCTGGCATTTATGAAATGCTCTTCAACATCCTCTCTGTCCACCAATCCTTCTTGGGGATTGCCTGGAGCACCAGTGGGGAAGATGAGAAGGGAGCCTGACCACGCCTGGCTAAGGGTTCAAGTTCAAACCGACACTGTGGTGATAAGGGAGACAAAGAGTTTCTACTTCTATTATAGCATCAGTAGGCTGTTGGCTAGCACCCTTGTGTAGGGTGGCCCACTCCCTTTGGGGGAGGGGCATCAGAGACAGCTCCAACGTGGCTGCTGTGACCAGTCTGCCCAGCACTTTGCCAAGGAAATCATTCAGATTTGCCAGTCTAACTCCTAATGGGAAAAGTTCAATACGGTAACTGAAACAATGTACTGCCATCGTGACTAATGGGAAACATCAGCTCTGGAGAGCCAAGAGTTTTTGGAGCTGGGCTTGAAGTACAAAGTGTGAAAGGGAAGACAGATCAGAGTTTAGACCAGGGATAAGCCAATCCCCCCCTCCCAATTTGGGGACTGGCTGAGGCCCACCTGATGCCAACTGATGATATAGTGATGTCACAAAGAGGGGTAGGACCTTCCCCCTTTTGGGGAAGGCCTAATAAATCCATATTCTAATATGGACAGCCATGATTTGACCATGCTATCTTAAGAGTCTTTAGGGGTTGCAAAAAAATCCCCCAACCCTTGCAGTTCCCAGTAAATCTGTGGCAAGTAAATGAACAATTTTGAGGCAGTAACTGCACACCCCTAGGACGAATAAGAAATAAGGAGGCAAACAAATGGAAGCAGACCTCGATTTGAAAAAGAGAAAAGCGAGACTGCTGGATGGTACATCAAACTCTTCCAAGTTTCCAGAAACAAGGAAGCTCCTTACCCAACGAGGCCACATGTCGGTAATTCTCCAGCATGACCTCTCTGTACAAGGCTCGTTGGTCAGGATCCAGCAGCCCCGCCTGGCCCTCTGAGAAGTAGACGGCCACATCTTCAAAGGTCACCTGATTCTGCAAGACCCAGACAATTCCAGAGCACATAATGTTATTGCTCCCTGGCTCAGCAGTGGGGACAACCACCCTTGCTTCAGCGTCTTCTCCAAACTGGAGTCCTGCGGAAGTGTTGGAATTCCAAATCAAAGGCTGGGTTTGCACAACACGTTTACACCGGTCAAGGAAGGATCATGCAGCTGTATTTCCTCAACCTGTTCGTCTTGGCTCAGTTTAACTTTGAACAGTTCTTTAAGGGGGAGGAGGGTGTCCCAGCTTGTGGGAACTGGCCTGATTTCTTTGCAACCCGACATATTGGACACAATGAGCTAATTCAGAAATTAAGCGAAGCGTCTCGTCTGCACCTAGCAAAATAAAAATCTTGAGCCATTTGGGGATTATGGCAGCTGAAATCCAACACATCTGCAAAGTGCCAGGATGGAGACAGCAGCAGAAAAATATGAGGGAGAATACCGCAAATTGTGTTAACTGCCCCTTTCCAGCCCCCCCCCCCCCCGGTTCAAATGTGCTAAATATTAGGATGGTGAAGTTCTATAATGTTCTTTCAGTGACAGGCCGACACCAGTTCTTGTCCTCTCTGCACAAGAATAGAGGATTTTATTTCCTGCATGTATCATTTTAAGTAACACTGCAACTGGCCCAGATCATTCTAGTTACTGGGCATATTACGAAATAAATGAACACATTTATTAATATATTTACAGGCTTATTGGCTGTTCCAGCCAACAACTGAGCAGCAGACAGTTTTCGCGAAGACATAATTTGGGATTAAAAACAAACAAGTAAATAATCAAATGTCAAAACAACCCATACGTGGCAACTGCCTATAAAAACTGGGAATCACATTCAATAGAATTTTTTTTAAAAAGTTCATCACCTGAGGGATGGACATAATAACCCAACCTTCCTGGCTTGGTGATTTTATTTAAAAAAAAAAAAAAATCAGGAGGGAGGGACAATTCAAATATCTGGTGGATGCTATTCCAAGGGAGGGGACTGCAGTGACATGTTGCCATGTCCCGTGAATCTCTTTTTATTCAATGATAGTATAACATTTTTTATTCCTTTCTGGCTTTTTTCTGATCCTTTTTCAGTGCAGTGGGGAAAGATTTAGGCTGGCTTGTCATGAAACAAGAGCTCCATGAAAAGACACGTATTCTGGGAACTATTTTACCATTCATTATAATCTCGGGAAACCAAGAACTTTAGGAAATACACTTCTTCAAGACAGGCAGACAAATCTAACACTGTTTTCACATCCTAAGGGAGTCCCCGTGGGTTTTCCAAAAGAATGATCATCCTTCTCCTTTTACTAGCCTTAATTGTTGAACATTCCACCTCCTGATTGGGATAAGATTCTTGCAGACCGAGATGTGCAAGTGGCTTGGATCTGCCTCTGGCTTGACTTTAAAATATCTGGATGTGGTTTTGTTATGGAAGAAAAATGCCACACCTCTGTCTTTAAGTCTCATCAGAACCCCACCAATATCTCCCCATAGATCTCATTACCAGAGCTGAAGGTCTCTTGGTTCCTTGGTTTGTTCTGGACAGGAAGGGCAAACTCAACCGATTCCGCGAAGCCATTCCGGACCCTGTTAGAACAGAGAGGAGTCATTCACTGGGTTCATAGTCCCCTTTTTGCCAGTGAATTCCCCTCTGAGAAGCTAGCACAATTAAAATCACAGTGAAAACCCAAATGGGGAAGACGATTCAAAACCTAACGAGACAGGTTCAAGGTTTTGGTTTCAACATGAAAGGCTCTAAAAGGGCACCTGATCAATTGACCTGAAGCAGTATGGGAAAGTATTAGATATGTAACTATATAACAGAACCTTCCCAAATCAGCAGCCTCAATCCATCCAAATGAAGCCACTGGGAGAGGTCATCTCAGAGGGTAAGGGATCAGCAATGTGCAGATGATACCCAGTTATACATCTCCATTCTGGCCTGGACAGGAGATGCTGTTTAGGTCCTTCCATGCAGATTGTTAGCATCTGGATGGAGAAAACAGGGTTAGACTTCATCTCACCAAGGTGGAATAGCTGTGGATTCAAAAGCTGGCTAATTCCAGAGTGAGTCCATCCTTAGCTCCGGATGGGGCTCCACTCTCCTGGACAGAGCTGGCCCACAGTCTTGGACGGCCGCCCAGTAGAATCCATGGCCAACTTGCAGCCATACCTGGGGCAGGAGGTCTTCATCATGGTCACTCATGCCATTGTCACCTTGCATCTGGATTACTGCATCTTGCTCTACCTGGAGCTGCCCTTGAAGATTATTTGGAAGCTTTGGCTGGTTTAACATATAGCAGCTCAAAAAGTTATGGGCATACCTAGGTTTCCCCAGGTAATAATACTGCTACTGCGGGAATTGCATTGACTATCAGTGAGCTTCTGTAATGGTCTGTGGGAATGACCTTCAGAGACAGGAGGGAGAGCTGCAGACAGGACAACTGGCATATCAAAGACATCTCAGCCAGAGAAGGGGGGATGGTGTGGGAAGAGTTTCAGAGGGGACCCTCCCTAGTTTTCTGGAGAATAAAAGGAAAGGAACGGAGAAAGACTTTCAGTTTTGCAGGATTCTGTTAATACAACCTTACAATAAAGACAGATCTGGTACTCCTGGTTGTGCTTCTTGTCTGCACCACCTCGCAGGACTAACAGCTTTGGAAAGCAGTTCAAGGTGGTGTTGTCATCTTTAAAGCCATAGCCCCTGGATGGCTCCAAGACCCTCTCCTTTGGGTGGGATTTCCCTGTCCAGTGAGACAAAGGAACAAGGGCTTCTTAAGAGACTCCCCCATTGAGGAATTGTCCTCTATAGAAACCCCACAGTCAAACCGCTGCAGTGACAGTCCCCTCCTCTGAACAGCCCACCCCCCAGATTTTTCCGCCATTCCTTCTTATTAAGTTTCAAGTCGCATCAAAGTGTGGCTCTTCAGGAAGACTCTTGGAGACAAGACAGAAGATCAACCGCCCCCCCCCCCAAAGTGTAGGCACGTTGAGCAGGATGTTACGAGCTTTTAATCTTTGGAGCCTTGAATTCCCATTCTGTCTTTGGTTGGGTTGGAAGCTGCTCCGAGACTCCTGATAGGAGTGGCATGTAAACTGGAGCAAATCGGTTAAGAAAAGTGAAAATGCCACACTTTAAAACACACAGTAATGAACAAGACACTGAGAGACGGCACTTATGGGTCTAAAAGTAGGTGAGGCTATGGGAACCTAGACCTGAATGGGAAAGCAATAACTCGGATATTCTCCTGGTGTCAAAAGGCGGGTAATTTCCTAACTTAGGAAACAGTACATTTCTTCCACCCCGCTGGGGTTGGACCAGATCAGTGTTTCTCAACCTTGGCCACTTTAAGGCATGTGGACTTCAACTCCCAGAATTCCCCAGCCAGCAAGGAATTGAAGTCCACATGCCTTAAAGTGGCCAAGGATGAGAAACACTGGCCTAGATGGAGTCAGGGAATCCACAAGTATTTAATAATAGGACTCTCAATCCTCCCCCTTGTAAGCCAGGGTGTTTCTCTCCCTCCCTCTCCTAGAACCAAGTTGGAGACCCTGCCTTCCCCGTTTTGAAATACAGTTAGCTCATCTTAATGCCAAGCGGGACATATCTTCTTCCCCGCTCAGCAACATTCACGGGCCACCAGATTCAGACGCACCTTCCGACGGCTCCCAGGTCATGCAAAGCTTGCCCAGCGCCGCCTCCCGCCAGCCAAGGGGCGAAAACAGGCGCGCTTTCCCCGCTCGGCAGCTGCAGCGCTCACCCAGCAAAGCTGCCTCCCTCGCGCAGGCATCGCGAGCGGCTCCAACCAGGAAAGGAGGGCGGAGCCAAACGAGGAGCCCGGTGAATTCTGGGGCGGGGAGTTCTTTTCTCCTTCCCTCTGCAGTCAAGTTTGGGGAAAGCTTTTTGCTGTCCCTAAAATGTTTTTTCTCCGCGGCCAGAGAAACCAGAACCTTGTCTTACTTAACTGGGTTCTTTTTTTTTTTTTTTGAGAGGAAAAAACAAAAAGATTTAGAGAAAATGGAAAAGAGGGTATCTCTTTGTTGTCTGCAAAGTGGAGGAGGGAAGGACTGCAATTCCCAGAATCCATCGGGCGCACTCCCTTCTCTGAAAGTCCAGGTTGAGGACAGATCAAGCTGGAGAAAGGCTAGCTGTGTGGTTGCTGAAACTTGACACCAATTGGATAGCAGTCAATCAATCAATCATGCTTACCCCTGACTACAGTTGAATTAATATAATTACCTGAGAGAGACACTGGCCCAGAATTCCCCAGGGTGCATCCATGGCTCATTGTCAGAACCTGGGTCTCCCCCACTCCTTCCCCACTATGAACACCGTTTCCTGGTCAGGCAAGGCCATAACTGGCACACAAGATGCCTTTGTGCAAAGGTCCTCCTAAGTGAGCCTGAAAGAGCAGTTTGGGGATAGATCGTCATGGAGAAACTCTGTGTGGTTGTTAGGAGTTGAAAAGGACTTGATGGCATATAATCAATCAAAACCTCTTAGCCACAGCTGCCACCTGGTTGTCAAGCAGAATCTGGGAGTCCAGCAGGACCTCTAGATTACATACCAGCTTGGCATAGAAAAGCCAAGAGTCTAAAATGGAATATCTCTGGAATAGGAGAGCTTCTTCATCCAGAGGCCCTCTGTCTTTCTGGGACTGACATCAAGGCCCCATCCAGTGTCTCTCTATATCAGTGTTTGTCAATCTCCGAGCCTATAAGATGTGTGGGCTTCAACTCCCAGAATTCCCCAGCCAGCATGCTGGCTGGGGAATT